ATATTGTATAAGCATGGTTCTCACAGTATATTGACAAAGGAAACCCCAACATTTGGGTCTATAACATATATAAACTGTGAGGAGTCATCATGGAAATTAGGAGGAAGGCCACATGACTTAATTAAATGGTTGTGAATTTGTGTCATTACATAACGACGTATACCACAAGTTTTTGTCAAAGTTAATGAATCAGCACTGTACGTATGTACTGAGATATTGAGTTGTGGAGCTTCGGTAGCCTGGGTGCCATCCTCCAGAAAGAGGTCTCACCGGCTAACTAGCATGGACTACCCAGGCCTAGAGCCAGGCCAGAGCCTCAGAGGATCGATGTGATTTTTTAGGATTGGCAAAAATCAATTTGTGCGCGGATGTTATCCATAGAATTAAGACAGTATAGCCTAATAAGGGGAGAAACCCATATTGGCATAGGTACAGTAAGGTACACTCTGTAGCGTCTACTACTACTAGTACTACGACGAATTGTGTCGAAAGGTCACTGTTAAAAATGTGGTTTATTATTATTGGCTGTTAGAATGTGATAGCCTTTTCTTCTAGACACAACGTCTAGCCAGGAATGCCAGAAATCGAACATTTCGGTCTCGTGTCTGTTAACCTTTCCCCTGTATGTATGTACCCCTGGCTTTTTCAAAGATGAGGCAGCATTTGGGAAGGAGTGGCGCGAACATGTGATGTTGTGGGTGGCGAAAACAATTAACGATACTCCTGTATTTGGATACTATGACTGTTTTTACTTGAGGAACCCGCATGTGCCAATGCATGTGGCTCTATATTTCAAAACATGAGGCTGATACAATATTGGGGCAGGAATGTCACAACGTGTGATGTTGCCAACGGTAAATGCATTATCATCAGTTGGATGATACAGCTATTTGTTTGTAGCTCAGGTGCCAGAATGTGCCACTAGCATTTTCAAATGTTATTTTTATGCATCGTTGAAATATATGATTGGCACGAACATGTTATGTTGTCGCTGATTTGGAAACCTACTTCCTGTGTCTAATATTTCAAAATGGTAAAGAAGATTAAAAAAAGGAACTCCGCCTGTGTCATTGCAAGTCCGCAGTCACTTAACATTACATGAACAAGATTAGGAAACCTTGTGAAAATATCTACTACCGTCTTATTCGCTTTTACCTTACATATAACACTCTTTAGAATATTTCACCATCTTTTAATGTCTAACATGAAATTCCTTTGCTATCTTGACCTGGGAGATTACAAGGCTTCCTTGCCGAGACAGATTTATGTTCCTGTTTACGAAAGGTAAGGTGACCTTTTCATTCATTCGTTGACCTGTGCAGCGTTGCATGGACGATTATCATACCAGCACATGCTTGACAGCCGGCTAAACAAAGACCACAGTCAGTCAAGGTATATAATGACACCTGGCTCTCTCGATTCGTAGTCTCCACCAGACAAACTACTCTGGCTATATATAGGAGGATATTTGCCAGGGGGGGTTGGTCGCCTTGTAGGATGACTGGCCGCGCTTCGGAGGGAAAGAAACTACCTCCTCGAGGACTTCCTTGGCCAATTTTATTCTTTTTTTTGCCCAATTCTACGATCCGTATTCCCGTAGAAAGACCTGGTGGGGGCTATAAGATTTCGTTCGTCGTTCTGCGGGCTCATGGTCTGAGTACAAGGATGGCATGATAAACAAAATCAGCGTTCACGCCCGTTTAAGCCCCCTCTCCCTGCTAAATGCAAACGTGCCTCCATCTGAGGCCTTTTTATGCCGACTTGTGTCGAAACGTCTTTGTTAAAAGAGTGGCTTATCATTATTAATGGCTGTTAGAATGTGATACTCTTTTTCTTCTTCAATTAATATTGATACTAAGAAACGCCCACTTTGAATGACTTTTATAGTCCAGAAGGGACTGCCAGTTTCCTAAATATTATGCTTCAATGAATTCATAACTAACCGAATTTTTACAGATCTTCGCTTTCGCGGCTTGTGCGTATTGCGGAATACCAATGCTGACCCACAATGGATACATCCGGGAACTTTTCATTACCAAATGCTAATACACTTCAAGTCAAAGTAAACATTTTCGAGGAAAACAATAGACCTTCAAAAGATCTGCTTGGAAATATGTCGTATTACTACATATACTGGTTATCGTTTATCGATGACACCCCTTGAAAAATGTAAGAAAAATGCCGTATCCTGGTACAGAAACATTCACGGTGGTCAAATTCGGGCCCAAATATTCCAAACTTTTTTTGAGCCGAATCATGTTCGATATGACGTCATTCTAATCAAACGTTTGTTCGATCCGGGGTTACTCGCGCGGTCATTTACTGTACATCCGCTATATAACCCGCTACTTCCAGCCCCTTTTTTACATAGGTTACGCCTAACAGTAAAAAAGGCCACCTTTCCACAAATATAAACCGATTTCGGGACAGTGCATATATGCCGCCATTTTGTAGTGGATATGTAACATATAACGAAGTCACTGTCGTCTTTTCGGGTGAACTTGAAGATAGTAATTCTTGTTTTCGCGGATCCCATACACTTATTCATTCTGCCTGAAATGCTTACAAACATGGTATTTAAACATCATTCAAAACAAATTCAATTTACCTCAGAAATGTTTTAAATTGTAGACAAGACAAATATCTCGATCTGTGTCGGATGGATTTTAAAAGATGGCGGCATTCTGGAATTATTGGTCTTGGACGTTAAAGAATTGCATTTTTGTCATATTTAACACTTAAACTTTGAAATTAAAAAAATCTCAATTTTGTTGTAATGTTTGATAAAATACAAAAACTGAGAATTTTTGGGAGGAATCTAGACCGGTTTAAATGAGTTGTGCGTTAAATAAGCATTTAACGCACGTGAGGGTTGTTTTACACACATTTCAGTGCTGTAAACAAAGCAACAACATTTGAAGTATATGTAGCGCAGATTTTATCACATTTTGACTGAAACTGTTTCTTATTTTTAAGAAAATATTTACCGTTGAGAATGGCTCCGCGAAACCGGCGCGCGGAACCCCCGGTAACATGATACCCCTCCCAAATTCGAAACTTTACCCTAGAATTTGACCGCCGTGATTTGTACTACCTCACTCAGAGATAAAGATCAGGCGTCAATATTACATGATCGCGCCAATTATATATTTCTATGATACATCAAAATTATATTCAAAACACTAGTGGCACATATGGGCCGGCCTCCTTCGGAGACTTCTGATGCGGCGCCGTTAATTTTCTTTTTTTTGGGGGGGGGGTTAAGGAGCGACGCGAGTTATGCGGCCGAGTGACGGTTTTGCCGCCGACGGATTTTGCACGGAAACCGTCTCTCGGTGACAAACTCCCTCGGTGACAAACGAGCAGTTGTATATTATCCAACTACATAGGTGTCGTTCGTTGTTTCCTCCACCCATCACCCACCTACAACATCCACGTGTTTGCGCCACTCCCTCCAACATGTCACAGTGCATCAGCTCTCTTTGAAAAAGCCGGTGGCACATACGGGTACGCAAGTACAGCGTACAAAAGAATATGTTTAGCCAATAAGATGATGGTTCAAGAATACCTTTAGCCAATAAAATGATGGTTCAAGCCAAACTCCTACGCATTAAATTGTAATATAAGTGACAGCATTAGCGCCTCACGCCGCACTTCCTCGAGAGACAACTTCAAACAACGAAGATAACCGTGAGAACATCCCAGCCACCTTGTGCAGCGATAACCTAGCTCGCAACCAACAGTTCAACTAAGAGCTTCCAACGGTGAGTCTTTCCAGCTACTCTGTATCTCGTCTTCCCTGTCAAAGCTTTGTATGTAGGAGCCTGGTTTATACAAGTAGCAGAAGTTCGTCATTTTCCATACAACAAAACTTTTCTCTTTCATTGTTGAAATTATTGAGTAATGTTGACTTTCCTACTCGTTTCGTGAAAAAAATTCATGCCGTACGGGGCGAACATTTAGAATTTATTCATCAGTAGCTGCCTGTGAATGTTTGCAAAGCGACAATAAGACTTCATATACCGATGTTACTTAGTTTGTGAGGCCTTCGTCTTTATAAAAAATCGATTGAGCGCACGGCGTAGGGTTTTTTTCCGTCGACCAATATAGGAACTTCAAGAGCCCACACAGAAAGGTGTGCGCGGCGCCGTATTTTGTTCTGCCGATACGCAAGAAAAGAGCCACAATCTCAATAAGAAAAAAAAATATAACATCCAACATTGCAGGATTATGTGCATTGCGCCGTATTTCGTTATGCCGGAAAACAAAAAGAAACGACGACTTCACGATCTGAACAACGGAATCAGGAATGAGCGCACGGTGCCCTTTTGTGCTGCCGTTTCGCAAAAGAACTAGCAAGTCCGCAACCTCAAGAACGGAGGCTGCATGTTGAATTGATCGCACCGGCTCCGTTTTTTTGTTTTATCCGGATCACTAAAGAACTGAAGACTTTACAAACAAATGAATCAACGCAGAAATGGGCACGTGGTGCGGTATTTCTTCTGTCGATCGGCAAAAAATCACAATCTTCAATACTAGTAGCAAACACTATGGGATTGAGCGCACGGCGCCGTATTTTGTTCTGTCCGGACAAGTTAAGAACTAACAAGTCAAAAATCTCAACAACAGACACAGGCGTGAGCGCGCGGTGGTTTGCGTAGGCTCCCTTAGGGCATAAAGACCTTCCCCGCCATCCAGTCCAATTACGTTCGTCGTGCAAAATCTACCGGGAGCCTAGTTGAACTGAGCGGTGGGATACTTATACAGACCGGAAGGGAGACCGCCTCGAACCACGATAAACTGGGTCCAAATCTACAATTTAAAGAGCCGACGCAGAGATAAGACCGCATCGAAGTATTTTTTTCTGCCGAACCACCAAAGAACTGGCGACTTTACAATCTTAAGATTCGACGAAGAATTGTCCACATGGTGCCGTCTTCTGTTCTAAAATAACAATTTCACAATCGTCAGTAGCAGAAACTATGAGCGCATGGCGCATTGGTCTGTCCGGACCACCACAGAACTGACGAGTCAAAATTGTCAACAACCGACACAAGCCTGAACGTGCGTTGGGTTGGGCGGGCTCCAGTCGGGCATGAAGACCGTCCCCGCCGGTCGACCAGTTTAATTATATTATAATTAGACACTAGGTAGGAGTTTTGCATAGCAGGTGAATTACTTCCTGTCATGCAAAAAAAATTACCGGGAGCCTAGTAGACCTTGGCGGTGGGGGAGCTTCTACAGGCCCGAAGGGAGGTCGCCCGAACCACGATAAACTGGACCCCAAGCTACAATTTGAAGAACCGACGCAGAGATGAGAGCGCGGCGTCGTATTTTGTTCTGCCGATCCACCAAAGAACTGACCAAAGAACTTTACAATCTTAAAATTCGACGCAGAATCGATCGCACGTTGCCGTCTTTTGTTCTATAGATTTGCAGAAAATGTGGCCGCGTTTCCAACATTTCTAAGAACCGACGCAGGAATGATCGCCTACCACCGTATTTTGTTCCGCCGATCCTCCAAAGAACTGAAGAGTTTACAATCTTCACCAACCGGCAAAGGGTTGAGCTAGCGACGGC